TAAAGAGAACTTCATTAAAATAGTTGGGGACTACTTAGCAACCAGCCCATCATGCAGATTGTAGTGGTAAAATGTACAGCCAAGCATTAAAAAAGAGCAGTGGCCAAAAGTATGTAATGTACAACCTAGGACACACAGTGCAGGAGTCCGGAGTGAGAAACATATAGCCCATTGCACATAGTGAAGGTGAAATGTACAGCACAGAGAGCAGGGGTCAGGAATGTATAATGTACTGCCTAAGGCACAGTGTGCAGGGGCCAGGAGTGTGTAACATACAGCCCTGACACAGCGTGCAGGGGTCAGGATTGTGTAACGTACAGCCCAGTGGTCATAGTTCAGCACCACTTACAAGGGACTTCAAATCCTGTTATACACCTTCTTCACAGCTATGACACGGCTCAATTCAAATGTTAACAGATGTCTGCGGGGAGAAACAACCTGTAATTCAGGTAGGTGGGGGTGCAGTTTAAGGATGGAGTAATTCATAATGGTTTTCTTTCAACAAAAAAACATGTTAACATGTTAATATGCATTGTTGTTCAAATCAAATAATTTGTCAAAAGCTTATGGATTTACTAAAATGTATTTATATGTATACATTATCTTATTATAGATAAGTTTATAGTATTCTTGGGACTTCCTACGTGTTTACAATCCTTGGTGTCTAGCTTTATGGCTATCAAGCCAAAAAAAGAAGTGGTAGTCAGAGCCAGCGTTAGCCATAGGACAAGCAGCAGGAGGAGGCTGAGCAAGAGGTACTGTAAAGATACTGACACAGAAGGTGCTGATTAATGCATGAGCTTCCTAGTATCAACATGTGTAACTGCATTGTAAAGCATATGTTAAACAGTTGTCTAAAAGTACAATTATAACTTTAAATGTATAAGGAAACATCTGTGTTCTTAAACAGAAATCTTTACCATATTTCAAATCATTGCTTGGCAAATCCCAGGCGCCAGGTCACTATGGTGACTAGAAATTGCTTCCTGGCACCTGGGTTTTTTGTTAGCCCTCACGTGGGACAGCAGGAAGCAGCATGTTCAGTATAAAGCAGATCGGGGCTCGGGCTGACATGCGAGCCCTAGGAGCCTTGCTGTTAGGGCTTACCTGAGGGGCGGAGTCTAAGTACCAGCCGGTCCCCAGGGTTGCCCTGCCAGGGGATGGATGAGAACAGGAGGGCTCCAATGAGCAGTCAGTAGTCAGATCCAGGCAGAGTTCATGGCAGGTGGTGGTCAAACGGTGCAAGGTTGCCAACGAGTGATCAGAGCATAAACGCAGGTGACAAGAGCAAAGTGGGGTCCAGGAAGAAGATCAGGGTGGGCAGCAAGCGAAGAAGGGTCAGGCGGTCCAGGTCAGCAACAGGAAAACAGCAGGAGTATTAAAGGAGAACTATGAGGTGAGTGATTTCCATTCATTCTTATAGTTAGAGCCGACCTGTGACAAAGAAGCTGTCATAGGTCGGCTCTATTGATCAGGAAGTGAGCAGAAACATGTTGCCGATCCACTCATTTCACGATCGTCTCCCTGCAGTGAGTGATGACTGCCAGTTACTGCTCCCCGCAAGGATTCCTCCCTCTCCGATCCTCCAGCGCTGGGTGGAAAACGAACAGTGGAGGGGGCGGGCAAGGCTGGCTCTGCCTCTAGATAGGCAGAGCCAGCTGTCACTCACGCAGCTGGGTGGATCCAGACAGTATTGTCGGGATCCGTCCCGGCTGCGGCGCTCTCAGTATATACTGTATACTGAGCTTTGGGTCACGGGAGGAGGTTAGTATATGTCCTCTCGTGACCCTAAAGAGAACTATAGGGAAAAACTCTTACCCCATAGTTCTCTTTTAAGCTCTTTTACAAACAGGAACCTAGCAAAAAGACACAGCAGCAGCTCCTTGCAGAGCCAGTGCTTAAATACCTCTCAGAATCAGAGGCGACACACCCAGCCTGACCTCAGGGTACGCTGGATGTCCTGGTCTGGAATTTAAGGCTATTATTAGCCATACTGGCCTAGGTCCTATGAGATCCATTAGAGGTAGTAGCGCATCTTCCGTAAAATCTGGCTGGGATTCACAAAGGAGAACGGTAAACCCTGACAGGTACTCTGAGTTTACCATAACACTTGCACAGGCACCATCCAGCCCTTGTGAAGCACATTAAAGTCATCCAGCGATCCGCACAAAGAGGTCAATACACGGCTGTACTTCTGCCTCCACAGATCAGCCGGGGAGCTGCGGGAAGTTTGCACCGGCTCTAAGGACGTGATCCAATTCAGCCAAGAGGTCGATGTATGGGAAGTGGACAGCTGGTGATCCAATGTGCCGGTGCGGCTGGGACACGGGACGGATCCCGATGACACTGAGCAGGCTGTCCAGGGATAGGCAGACGGAACACTTGTGTGGGTGCTGCGGGGTGAAGATGATCCCCCACTTCTCTGAGAAAGTCATCATCTCCCAGAACACCATCAATCAGCTGCCAGTAGATCCCAGCAATCTAACTTCCAGGATCTGCTTTTCTCTAAAAGCATTTTTTTTGTTCTGTATAACACCTGAGGCCTCATTCACATCTGTGTCTTATAAAAAGCTTGTAATGCATTTCCAGTGTGGGTTTAATGCGCTGCATTAGTGTAGCATTCATGTGTGTTTTGTGTGCAGGGATCAGAGGGGACGCAGTCTGCTGCAGCTGGCATCCAGCGGGGAGGAGAGAGCGCTGACTTTGCATTCCCCGTGCCCCCGCCAATCCCTCTTTGGATCAACTGCTGGCCACCGGTGACAAGTCTCCCATGCAGGGGCTGGGAGCAATAGGCAGCCTGCTATTGGATATTTTAAATTGCAGTAGCCAATAGCAGTCTGGCTTTTGCACCTGCCCACTGCCACTTGTGAGCCCCCCATGTGATAGCAATGAAGTTAAGTAACAAAAAATAAAGTTTAAAAAAAAAAATGCATCTGAAACTGCAGGCATAATGAAGAGATCTGTGCCAAAATTGTCAATTAGATTGTGGTAACAAAAGGGAGAGATGCAAAGAGAAACATTGACTGTAATAACATAACATAATATCTTTGATTCACATACATTTAATTAAAAAGTTGCAAATCCCAAAGCTCCAGAACCAGAAGTCCCAGAACTGTTCCACATGTGCTAGAACATTCCCCACCAAAGCAAATAGAGAGACTTATTTGCTGCATGCATTTCTTTGCAGAGCACTGGATGCCACCGCTGGTCACAGTACACAGCACAGCTGTTGTCAGGGAGTGTCCCTGGGAGACAGAGCAAGAAGAAACAATATTGTTGAGTTATGAACATGTACAGTATAACTCGCTGACTAATAGTAATTACTAGCAGGTTTATTCCATGTGTGACCATTGCCTTCTGTGCTGCAGTCAAGAGAGGAGCCTGTGCTGAAAGTCATTTTGCCTCCCATGTCTGCTCTAGGGTTGTCACCTGTCTGGGATTCACCTGGACAGTCTGGCTTTTGAGTCGCGTGTCCGGGTTCTTTCAGCCACCTGACACCCAGACACAAGACACTAAGTGCCAATACTGGCACTTGAAATTGTTTTATAGATGCAGTTGCTGAGCAAGCGTGGGACTCAGGCAGTCGCGTCTGCTTGAACCTGCATCTTTCTGTGATCCGCGGGCACTTGTAAACCGGTGCAGGCCGGCCCGCACATCTCTTCCACTGTTTTTCTGACACAACGCTCCCTGCACAGCCACTTGAGAGCCCACACATCCTCCTGAGAGCCCACAGAGTCCATCTGAGAGACCGCAAAGCCCTGGTGAAAGCCCACAGTCCACTTGAGAGCCCCCACAGCCATGGTGAGAGCCAGCACAGGCCACCTGAGACCCAGAAGCATCAGGGCGCAACCCCAGAAAAAACAGTATGTAGCTTCATATAATTTTGTATTGCTGTATAATGTATCCCCTGGCTGTCTCTTCTTGATTTTTTTCCTGGTTGCCTCTCCTCGTGTGGCACTAGAGTGTTCGGATTTCTCTTGAACAAAAGGTGGCAACCCTGGTCTGCTGCTTGGGTAGGATGGTCCTGACAGTGGGCCTGTGTCTTAGAGGCCTGGGAGAACTTATTTCGCCTTGCTGGAGGTTATATCTAGAAGGAGTGGAACAAGAAGATGGTTGCCTGTATGAATCATCTTGGGAAGAGGCTTATCTGCTGACTAGTGTCCTGGAGAGCTGGGTGCAAGCTGCTGTTGTTGATGGACAGGACATTCTGGCTATTAATCTTAGAAGGTACTTGTGCTACCTGGTTGTGCTTAAAGAGTAACTGCCCATGAAAAAAAATGCGGCCTAAAGTAACTAGGCAATAACTCCAAACTTTCTGCATTAATCAATGACTAACACAGTACAATACTCCAGGGTTGCCACCTGTCCAGGATTTACTCAGGTGGTCCGGGTTTTGAATGCTGTGTCCAGGTTTCATAGCAGCGGAAACTCGGACACAAGAAGATAAGGGCTACTGGCCCCCACTGAAAATAGTCTTCGAGGCTCCGCCCACCGGCTCCGTAGTTTGCGGCCGGCGGACACCTTACACCGGAGCCCGCAACTTCCCACAAGGTCACCGCTGCCGCCCTCTGCGCTCTGCCGCCCCGAGGCCGGGCCTCGGTGGCCTTGTGGGAAATCCGGGCCTGGCCACGACTCATTCTCCCCAAAAAATGTCAGCGCGTCACTAGAGTGTTCGGGCTTCGCTTGAAAAAAAGATGGCAAACTTACAATACTCTACTACAGTTACAATTGGAAATACATTTTCCCTTCCTCTCCCAGTAACAAGGCTATCATCATGCCACAAGTGAGGGAATAGCTCACCTGTGGGGCTGCAGAGACAAATAAAAACATGATTAAGGTCCTAACTCTTTTACACTATATGCCAAATGTAAACAAATGTCAGGTACACATATTAATCTCCAGTACAAGAAAGCAACTCTGCCCACACTCAGAATGGCATCCCCGGCGTCCCTCCATCTCGCACGTAACAGCGCGCTTTCTGGCGCTGCCAGGTCTCTCTGTGTTTGGGATACCCGGATGTCAGCGTGTCTCAGGTCGGCCGCCGTAGACTCGTTACGTGGCATTAGCAGCTCGTTACCCGGCTGCCTGGAGAGGTGACGCCTCTTTCAGACTGAGGCCCAGATTCGGCAACAGCACTACCGGCCTGCGCTCGTTCTCCTCCCTGCCTGTCCCCGCCATGTTCACCATATCAGAGCTCGTCGCCCTGGTCGCCTTTTTCTCTGCCACCGCCTCAGGTTATTTTGTCAGCATCGACGCTCACGCAGAAGAGTGCTACTACGAGCATGTGACGTCCGGGACCAAAATGGGCCTAATCTTCGAGGTGGCTGAGGGGGGCTTCCTGGATATTGACGTGGAGGTGAGGAGCTCATGGGCTAGCTGGCTGTTCTGGATCAGGAATTGAATGTGTCTGCTATGACATGAGGGCTGAGTGACCCATACCGATTCGTGAGGCCGCATGTGTTCATTGAGCTTTGTTCCTTATTTTATCGTGCAATATGTGTCTCATCAAACGTCCGATTGCATAGGTGTGCTGCCGCTGTGTATTCATTTTATTTCATTGTTCTAGAGATCCAAGCTAGGGTCCATAGTACTGACAGGTAGGGGGTGGAAGTCTGTCATTCAGATTGTCTCAAGTGTCTATATAAGCCATCTATGTCTACCAGATATTCCATATTATATTATATTAAGTGTAAATTATGTTTCCTCCATGGCACAAGTGCAGATTAAAAGAATATTCCACCTTTTGCACAATGAATAAATGCACACACATTGATGAAATAATGTGCATTTATTTTTTTGCATTGGAACCTGCAAAGTATTGCATTTGGGCGATGGTGATTTTTAATGCACAGGCTCATGCAGACTTTTTCGCAGCCTGTTCGTACTGAGATACAGACCTGTTATGGGACTGAGTGAAGCTATCAATGGACTACAGGTGCAGTGATCTCACCACAAGTATGCTCCATGGAGGTCTATGAGTGCAACACCGGCAGATGGGACTTGTAAGGGTGAAGAGTCTGGAGAAGGCAGTGATCAATCTAGGCTTAAATAGCTGATTTGGAACAATTCTCCAGTTCAGCTATGTTGTCCTAGATTGTTCACTTCCCCTGCCTTCTCCAAACTTTTCACCCTTTTGTGAATAGACCTGATAGTCTTTAATTTCACACATCCTGTGAATGGATGATGCAGCTGGGCAGGTGGAGCCACACAAAATAAATAAATAGGACACTGCAGGGAGAAGATCCCTGCAATTCAGGTAAGTGGGGTGCGGTTTGGGGAACGTGACCCTGTTTCATTTTACACTGTAAATATTGGTGAAACATGGTCACATAGGTGGCATTAGCCTTTAAATGTTTGATGCACAGGTCACTATATATTTCTCAGATGTACTGGATGACTTTCACTTTCAGCGGTAGGCACACTACTTGCGCAGAACAAGGGCACTCCCGGACTTAGGAGTCCATCTATACTTGGTGAGGGTTGGTGCTGTTACCTCACCGGCTGTCGCTTAGACCTTGGTATTGCTCACTTTGAGGGCAGGGGAGGAGCAGGTGGCATGCTTTATAATGCCTTAACAGTGAGCCTGGTTTGTAATACCCGAGTGGTATCAAACCGCAAGCATTCCCTACACTCCCTGTCTGGTTGGATCTGGAACTTGCTCTATGCTTTTATCACTTAACCTTTATCACTACTTGGACTGAATTTAAAGGGGGTGTTTTTGTCAGAGCCCAGTTGCATTTTATGAACCATAAGCAAGTTTGGGATACTGCAAAGACTACTATACATCTGCAGCTGCCTACATATCTATATTTCTTTCTCTATACACTGTGAATTCAAGTATTAGCACTTTACAAAAAGCACATTCACATCAGTCCCTGCCTTCAAGGAGCTACTATCTAAGGTCTCTATTTTACATGCATACATATGAGGGCAATTTAGTTAGGAGCCAATTAACCTACAAGCATGTCTTTGGGAGGAAACCAGAGTACCTGGAGCGGCAACCTTGACTCTCCAGCTGTGCTGACACTACAAATCCCATCATGCTTCTGCCCTTGGGAGTAATGCTTGTGGCTTGCAATGTATTATGGGATTTGTAGTTTCAGCACAGCTGGAGAGCCAAGGTTGCCTACCCCTGACCTGGAGGAAACCCATGTACTTGGGCTCTAGTTTAATGGGGCTCCCACAGTTCTCACACAGAGAGGTTATGATGTCTGCTATTGTTCATCTCCTTTCTACTTTGTTGTACAAGAACCACTGAAGAGGTCAGTCCCTGCAACCGTTGTGTATATTCTGATGCCTGTAGCACAAACACATTTTAAAATGTGGAAAATAGTTATTTTACCCATATGTGTTTGACTTTCCCCAGGATCTGGAATACCTGAAACAAACCCTTTTAAATACAGAAGCAACATTTACATATAGAAGTACTCGGAATCAGCTCTGCAGTGCAACATAGTAGGTGTGTTGCAGGGTGCGTTGTAAAGAAATAATGGCACCGCAGCACACCTCATTGCAAAATGCAATGCGGGATCATGTGCGCCATAATGTGCGCTCCCGCATTGTAAAGATCTTAATGGAGGCCAATTCATTCAAAAGGTACAATTAGCATGGTGCTCAGTGCAGTACGCTTTGCAGTCAGAATATCCCTTACTTTAGGAAAGTACATTCTGATTGGTTGCTCTGGGTTATGTGAATTGGTGCTTTGCTTATTTTATTGTAGATTGAAGAAGACTGTTCTAGGGGAAATTAATAAGACTGGAGTAGACATAATCTGGAGCAGCCGCAAATGGCAACCAATCAACTTCTAGCTGGATATAGAAACTGGTTACTGTACACCGCTGCTCCAGATTCTGTCTGCTCCAGTTTTAGCAAATTCCACCTTAGTGTGTTTTTGTTATTTAGATTTATGGGTATACAGTGTATTGTGGTTATCTTCAATGTGCTTTTGAAATTGTTTACTGTATGTGTAGCATTGCACAGGATAGGCATGAGCTGTGTGACAGCACAGTATTAATAGAATTGTGCTGTTAGGGTATGTGTACTTGAGTGCCTTGATCACACCTCTTGTAATCAGAGCAAACAGGGAAGGGATATCTGTGCACAGCTGCACTTGCTCACAAAAACTCCCAAACAGATAGAAATCAAAGTATAGTATCATTGAATGATGCACCCAAAGGGACACGTACAGCGGTGACCTGCATTTTAACACGGTTCACTGCTAGGACACATAGAAAACAGTTGGGTGGAGAGTGGGTTAGGTCAGTGCAAAGGGCAACGAAAAATAAATTGGTGTGAATGGTACAGTTCACACCCGTATGTTGCGTTGTGATGCTGTCTGTTGCGTTTTTTTAACGCAATGCTGCAAAGACACGTGCTAACACAATGCATCACAAGCTTTAGGGAAGTATGTCCACTATTTAATCGAACTTAATAATCGGCTAACTAATCGATTATGAAAATAATCGTTAGCTGCAGCTCTAATGGACATGTCATTTCACATAAAGCTTGACCAAAAAAGATTGAAAATAAAAACGAAGGCCTCAAAATCGCGACAGATCGGATTGCACAGAAATCTGAAGGTACAATCACAAGGCAACAGAGACGCCTCTGTTGCGCTGCACTTAACTTGCAAGTTTGGGACCTTACAGTTTTTAGCTGCTTGCCTGGAGTTTAGACCTCTGCCAATTACCGTGCAGTTCCCAATGCACATTGATGCACGACAAAAGCATTGCCTTTCTTTTCATTGGGACCCATTCACACCTGTTTGCTGTGCTGTGGTAGTACAAGTACGTTTATGGTGCAGCAACGCACATTTTGGCCCCAAAGACATCAATGGCAGTGCACAAAAATGCACGTAACCTCTTTTTGTGCATTTTAGAGCATAACAAGCCCCCATCCCCCAGCATCTTCTACTTGGACAAAATAAAACGCTAAAGCTGCATCAAAAATCTACTTGATTGAGTTTCCTAGCCCGTGTACATTTTTGGAAAAGTAGCAGAATGCCAAGCTAAAAACTTTTTTTCTAATTTTGGATAGAATGGGGAAGGATTAGAACTACTGTTGAGTTTGAACTGCTATTTGGGGTACCATTAGGGAGATTTACCCTCACAACCCGTACCGCTGACAATGATTTCACCCAACAGGAAGTGATGAAATAAGTGCCCCCTACTTGACAAAAATGCATTTGTTTTGCTCTTACTTTTGCCCGTGGAGAATTCCCCCTCAATTCCTGTTTGTTAGAACTGCCCTGAGTTCTAAACCTCCCCGTTCTCCATTCAAAAACAAGAAAAATTTAAATTTGGGATGGATATTTGTTCACTTCAAAGTACTGTGCTGGACAAAGTGCTTTAAATAAAGAAGAAATAAAAAGCTATTTTGTCGTCATTTGAGTTTAGCGGTCATCATCGGCTTGTGAGCCGCTGATGACAGCTATTAATTTAAAGGGGACAGTCTGCTGAACAGTTCTACTGTAGAATTATTATAGTAGAACTGTAAATGCCAGGTCCGTACGACGTACTGAGCTGGCCAGCTGGAAGCACTTTTGTAGCTCCGTACGACGTACGTCCTTGGCAGCGAAAGGGTTAATCAAGCCGTTAAATCACGCAATATACTGTAGGTATTTTGAAGTTCTGCGAAATGTTCAGCACCCTTGAGAAACCAGGAAGTGGCTACACTTTCAATTGCTCTTCTTCAGTGTAGCTACTTTATATTTTCATTGCTTATGAATGCATTTATGTGCATTTTGCAGTGTTTGCCTTGCATCAGCACATTAATTTAAAAGGGGTTTGAGCTGTGAGGTTCACTCGTTTCTGATCACGCGGTTTTGGATATTTGTTGTACATCAACACATGTGCAAAGACATATGTTTTGTCTGCCATGTTAATGAGCTCTGCTATGCAACAAATGCATCACAAAAGTTTTGAGCTGTGTGCTTTACCCATTTATTGACCACATGGTTTTGCATGTTTGTCACACACCAATGAATGGGCAAGGACATGTTTTGCGTGCCGTGTTAGTCCTGGTTCACACCTAGGCGTATTTGAGCAGTTCGAAAAGCGCTTTTAACTGCCCACCGCAAGAAATCTCATGATTTTCAATGGCCCCGGTTCACACCTAAGCAGGAAAAGGCCAGACGCCTGAAAAGGGGCTGCTTTGGGCAGTTAAAAGTGCTTTTCCTCCCCATAGACTTAATTGGAAATGCACAACAAAAGCATGTTGCACATTTTCGTGAGCGTTTTTGCGTGTTTATACGTGCGTTCTTCCATTGCCAAAATGGTGTATGAGCTGCCAATCAAAACGTGCGTCTTCATGTACACGTGGTAAAACGTGCATACAAATGTGCACAATGCGCAAATAACCGCATGCTGCTAACGTGCGTATAAACGCACAAAAACTGTGCCGCTTAGAGGTACCATTATCAAGTAATGGCACCTCAAGCGCGTCACATGTTCGTTCTGTGTTGTGTGAATGCGCACCAATGCTCACACTTTGCCACATGTTTGCACACATGGCAAGTGTGTACAGAGCTTTACCATGCAAATAAAGTGTTTTCTTTATTTCCTATGCTGCAATAGCCACCTCCAGTTAGAATACAAATTCAGAGCAGATTGTGGTTGAAAGGTGACATGAGGGTAGTATTCTATAAGGATAATAACAGGCGTTCATAAATTTATAGTTTTAAAAGCATATTCTACCAGGTGACTGCAAGCTGGTACCATACAATTTACTATAGGGTGATGCTGAAATCAAGTCACTCCGCTTGCAGCAGGGATGGACAAATTGTGTAGCACACTTATCTTTATATTGCACACTTTTTTCTGTGAGCTTTTTAAAATAACATGAGGATAAGCTGCTAGTTTAAGTTTTCATTATAAGGTTCTGTTAATTGGTATATTCCTTTTTACAATAAAAGCCCTTTTCTTACAGATCACTGGCCCTGACAATAAAAACATTTATAAAGGTGACCGAGAATCGAGCGGCAAGTACACATTTGCTGCACACATGGATGGAACATACAAATTTTGCTTCAGCAACAGAATGTCAACAATGACTCCGAAGATAGTGATGTTCACTATAGATATAGGTGAAGCTCCGAAGGGCCAGGACATGGAAACAGAAGGTTAGTGTTGTTTTACTGAACCGCTCACATAATTTTGTCAGACTATGTCGCTTTTGATGACTATTCATACAGAAGAATATTGGTCCGATATATATTACTTATTACTGAATAAAAACCCAATCACCAGCTGAAAATAGTAAAAAATCAAGAATTCTAAATGCATACTTGCAGCATTTTTCCATGTCATAAACTTTTTTTTTTTAACTTGCAATGTGCCTCTGAAGTGGTATTCCTTGGTACAGCCCTCTCCTTTACACATCTCCCTCTGCTTCTAAGAGAGCCTAATTACTTCTGTGCTGACCCGGCTTCTCTGCTACTTAAGAGTACATATATATAATTTAATCCAATAAAATGCATATATTATCTTATGCAGATTCTTGTTGAATTGAATGGTCAGGTGACAGGGTCTCTTTAATGACAGATGCACTCAAGACCATTTTCTGAATATATACAGTATATGTAGTTCTTTATCACAGTTTACATCAATCATGAAGTAAAAGCCTCCAAGCTACTTTATAAAACCAACAGCAAAGGATGGCGGATTGGTATTTATTCTGTATTTATAGCAGTAAATTGTAGAGAAAATATTTAAACAAGGACTCCGAGCACATCAAATCTTGACCCTTGCACTTGGGCTACCCTTCAAGGGTTAAAGTGACATTAAACCCTCAGATTTCTTAACATAAACCAATACTGTAATGTGTGCCTTACTGTAATCCATGGTAGTTTCCCTTCTCTTTGCTGCTCTTCCTTTTAAATCCGTATCTGTTCTTATGCTGGGGGAGAACTTCCCTTTGCAGCTGAGTGCCTCTTCCTGTAGTGCTGGCTCAGGTTGTGAACCTTCACACAGGCACCATGTATCCATTCCAGAGACAAGGCAGTCTGCTGCAAAACAGAAGTTCTGCCCAGCATGAGAAGAGATACAGATTTAAAAGGAAGAGCAGCAAAGAGAAGGGAAACTACCATGGATTACAGTAAGGCGCACATTACAGTATTGTTTTATGTTACAAAATGAGGTTTTAATGCCCCATATAAATCGTATATGTAGGAACAGATTTGGCATTCATGGGGTAACCTCTTTGTTAAAACACATCCAAAATAGTTCATTATTATTACCATACATCATATGTGACATTCGTCAGTAAATCTCTATGCATGATTGACTGAATTTCCACTCGCCCTCTCTTTATTTCCACTCGCCAAATGCGAGCTGGCGAGTGGAAATTTTGAGCCCTGATCTACAAGATATCACTTTAACAAGCACATGAGTTTTCCTTAAGTTTTCCACATTTATTAGTCCCTTTTGATTTGTTCTCATCTCTTTACAATCCTCTTAGGTGGTGGAGATACATGGGACGGTAGGTTTTCTGCTGCATTCTGTAAAGCGTAACAATCAGTCAGGTTTTCTAACACCTACCTGTTTTGGCATGGCAATTATATATGTTAATGCAACATTGGATGAAGCAGTTTGGTTACTTAAACCCCTAACCTTATCGATTGTGAAGTGTTGCCGTGTTACAAGGAGATAGCATGCAATTTGATGTGCATTTTTGCAGACAGTACTTGATAAATAATGCTCAAAATAGAATGCACAGTTGACCTGAATTTTTTCTTTTTGCATGTATTTTCTAGCAGAAGTATTACCTTCTGTAGAGTGCTGGCTCAACACATTCAAGCCTTTACACTACAGAAAATTGTACTTCCAGAGGGGGTGTAGATAGTAGGGGGCACATACTGAAAGCAACAAGAGTAAAATTTAGCTTTGTAAGGTAAGTCCACCTTGTATTCCTTGCATTTGCTTTGTGGAGAATCCACTAGGAGGTGGGTGACCATCTTGTTTACAAGATGTGTATAGGCTGCAAAACTAGTGCGAAGCAGTGTTTCTCTAAGTGCAGATCTACCTCCTAGGATCTCAGAGCTAGTAAGATACTGAACATGTTAGCTTCCACCCCTGCCCTTTTACGCTACCTAGAGGTAAATATAACGTACTGTAAAGTTGACCAGTATCACCTGCATCACTTACACTGATGTAATGAATCTTTGCTTGTAGGCTTTGTGAATAAATGTGCTATGTTCCCTCTGTCATATGTTCATTACATTGGTGTGAGATAATGAATTCTAACTACAGCCAGGAGTTCTTGCATTCCCTTAAATTATGTACAATCAAACTGTGCAGGGACATTTTTCATGTTGCTAGAAAATAAGTGAAGGACATTATCCTTGAATGCATCATAGTAGAGCTGTTTTAAATATAAGTATGTCGGACCTCTCTCTGTAAAATCAATGTGTAATAATTTGTCATGCAGCCCATCAGAACAAGCTGGAAGAGATGATCAATGAACTTGCAGTGGCCATGACAGCTGTAAAGCATGAGCAAGAATACATGGAAGTGCGGGAAAGAATACACAGAGCAAGTGAGTCATTTTAAAGATTATGCAATGTTTAGTATGAGCTACATCTTACACAATTCATACATCAATAAGTAATTAAGGATACAGACCCTTGTAATTAATCAGACACTGATGAAAATGACTATATTTTAGAATAGAATGGTAGCGTTGTAGAAGTGGGTTTAAATTGCATTAAATACATATAACATAACTAATAGTTAAAAGTGAGTAAAGAACTCGTATTTTTTATTTGTTGGTTACTAATTTAGTGAAACATTTACTAGAAGAAAAAAAAGGTGGAAGTTGTGAACATGTCAAATCTTTAAGCCAGTTCACCTTTTGATAAAATTATTTGTTTTATGGTTTAGTTCCAAATCTAGGGTAGCGTCTACATTTTTTATTTTTCTTTTAGGCCTTGTTCACACCGAAAGCGTGTGCGTTCCAGAGTGGTAGCTGCTGGAACGCACCGTGATCGCAAAGAAACTTCTCCCCCCGTTTTGAGGCGGGAGGGGGCGTGGCGGTGCATTGAATTCAATGGCACCGCTTCCACGCCCCCTTCCCGCAGTGCGATCTTTGCCAGCATTCTGTTCCACTGCAAACACAAAAAATAGGGCTTGCTCTATTTTTAGCGTTTGCCGTGGAACGCACCGCTGGTAAAGTTTTGCCACGCGTCCGATCACACTGCGAGGGAGGCGGGTTGGGCGTGGAAGCGGTGCCATTGAATTAAATGCACCGCCACGCCCCCTCCCGCTGCAAAACGCAGTGAGAAGTTTCTTGGCGATCGCGGTGCGTTCCAGCAGCTACCGCTCTGGAACGCACACGCTTTTGGTGTGAACAAGCCCTTATTGGTTTGTTTTGATAAGGAATTTAAACACCAGCCTTCAGGACCCATAGAGGGGGCGAAGGGTGGGAAGTTTTGTTTGCGGCTGGGCAAAGTATGTGCCCAGAAGAAGAGCATGGGAAAAATGTGTCTTATGTACGTTGTGTAAAGATACCACATTGGTGATTATATGTAGCACAGTTGCCAAGTGTTTTATACAATGCTATTAGGAGTTTACATGATTTATTTGATTGAAGTAATAAAATATATGCATACTTCCTTTTTTCCTGCAGCCCCCTGCAATGTTTTCATCTTTTAGCTAGACTTTCTGTGCGCCAATGCAATTGATACCAATAGTTTATTATGAGGCTCTGTCCCAAGGCAGGAGACACTCGCAAGATGGTCCCTGAGAAGTTTAAGTAGTACAACTGTGCCAGCATGACCAGTGCAGAGAATAATTTGCTGAAAGATTTAAACATTGCCCAGCTCCTGCTGGAAGTGGAGCTAGTTTGGGACAGGTACATTACTGTAATTGATGGTACAAAGGTGTGCATTGCCTTGGCTTCAGCATTCCGTGCAGGAGTTAAGCAATGACAGCATCAGGCAGTGAACAAAACCTTAGCTGTAACAGCATTCATTCCTGAATGGGTTCCTCTGGATTCTTGAACTCTTCAATCACTAAATGAGTCAGGTCTAAGATTTGCATTCATTTAGAAAATGTAGGTGAAAAGATCCATTGACAGGTGTTTCAGAAACTGGCTGGTAGAATGCAAATCATTATTGTAATGCATTTCTTTAAATGTGTCAGTCTTGTTGAGGTGAGCATAACATTTAAATGATTTAGGGCCCATGTCCAGGCATGTCATGCTTGTATTCTGCTCTTCTTGGCATAGCTCTAGTACAGCAGCCCCCATGCTATTTGTAGGCTTCATTAATGCCTCTTATTAGTGCTGTGTACAAGTGGTGTGTAACAGACAATTTTTAGATTGCATGCTTAACATTCTCCTGTTATATTTTGTGTGAGATACACGGCTGATGCATTTAGGGAGCAGAATGTGTAAATTATGCTTGTCTGGGGTGTATTTTCTCCCTGAGGAAAATAAACCAGGTGAAAGGCTACAGAATACCCTTTGATGCACTACTGTAACAAACATTAGCCAGTGGTATATTTTGTAGGTTAATGTAGTATTTGAACAAGCAGTACTCTGAGTTTTAGTTGGGGGCATTGAGTATGCATTTGGTATAAGGAAATGAGGCGTTGCATCTATGTATGTTAGATATCTTAAAATGTCTCTAAAACCTATAAACAGTGTCAGTGTAGCTCTTAAGGTCGAGAAAGTGGTACAGAATGCTGTAGGGGCTTCCACTTCCAGTTTATATGAGTCCTAATGTGCAGCTGTACATTTCAGACAGCAATCATATCTTTCATGTAGACATATTTAGCTTAACCTTTGCTTACCTTTTTTTCCATTTTCTCTTTTTTTTTCCCTCCAACAGTCAATGACAACACGAACAGCAGAGTGGTGCTCTGGTCATTTTTTGAAGCCCTTGTGCTGGTAGCTATGACACTGGGACAGATCTATTACCTGAAGAGATTTTTTGAAGTTCGGCGAGTGGTTTAAGCAGCTATTTTGTGGGGGATTTTTTTTGTCCTAACTCATCCCAAATGTTTTATTTTTGATCCCAAACTTTGTCCTAAATGATAATCCCAAACTTTGTTTTATTTTTGTTTTCCCTTCCTGTCATCTTGGTAAGAACAACTTCTGAATTTAGTTTTGCTATGTTTGCTTTGGAAATGCTAATTGTAGCACAAATAAGACACCATGCTGCATATGTTACCTTCAGGAAAAGTCCCCAAGAAATCAAAAGTGAATTGACATTTTTGGAAAGATCCCAGAGCACTCGGTTATTGTGGTACCGTCCGGATCGGAAGTACTTCTAGTTACATTTGTCTTTCTTAACACTTTACTTTTGCAATGATGTTGTCTTGTTTTTATGAAGACTGTGAACCAAAGAGGTTCATTATTAAGATGGCTGTGCATAAGCCACACAGAATTAACCTGCAATAGCTGTATCCAGCAAATGAAATCCTCTTTGATCCTTCTAAAAATATTGCCTCCTCTGTTGTGCATTGTCTTGTCTTTTCTAATAATTTATTACCTAGTTCTGCCTACAGGAAAGTCTTCTGCTTCGTTGGAAAATGGCCTGTTCAAAGATTCTGGTTTCTAGTAATGGAGCAGATGGACACAAATGTGCTGTTTTATACCATGAATGCTAATCCTTTCAAAGTCAGAAAAGACTCGGGCATTTCTTTGGATTTTTCTGATGAGGATGGGTTTAATATTGTATTGTATGATCTTGCTGCCTTGTGTCCATCTGCAATGCAAAAAAAGATTTTAAAGCTGTACTGAACATTCGGTACATCTCTATCATGGCTGTGCTCAGCTGCCTTCAATGACCATGTTAGTTTACTAGGTGATTAGAACTGCATACTGTATTAAAAAAAAAGTACCACCATAGTAGACGAATTTTCCAACTCCTGACTGTAACAGACTACTGGTAGATTAGGTGTTGCACGAAGGAGTTCATTACTGCACTGTGGTTTCTGGGTAAGTATTGTTTGCCTTTCTATTCTATTGCTACATCATGGACCATCAAAAGCAATCTTTATAAAGCAAAACATGTATGGGTGAAACCGCCATTCCCTGACAAAGAATACATGCCATTTGCTGGGCAGTGACAATCCAAATCGGCACCTTTTACTGCTCTAGAGCTAGTATTCAGCAAAGGTTGGCTGAAAGAGGTATAAGAGTGGGGAATCTATAGTCGCACATTAACTATCCCATCTAAAAATTCAAAAGTCGATCATTTCCCAGCATAATTTTGCAAAAAACAAAAGTGGGACTTTTGCAGGAACGGTTTGCTTACAATTTAAAGTTAAGACGTGGTTGGTATACCAAACTGCACCAACCTTTATCACATTTAGATTGTCATTTAGTTATTGAAAAGAAAACAAAACTGAGTGGCTTGCTTACTTGAGATAACCACACACAAAGGCAAGCAGTTGTATGATCCAAATAGTGGTGCATTCATAGGACACAATGCAGACTTTTACATGAGGGTGTTTGACCAGGTGAGAAATTTGTCTCTGGATTTCATATTGTTAATACTGATTTAACAGAGATAAGTTGGTGCCACACAATGGGGGACTCTCTAACAGTTTGCACTGATGTCGATTTGCATGTTGGCTAAAAAAAAGAAAATAGGCCTGATCATTCAGAAACTTTTTATTTGTGCATGACTAGCTTTATCATATTTGGTTTCATTCTCGTCATTAAGATATTTGAAAAAATTTTTTTAAAGCAGGAGGAAAGTACAATATTCTGTCAAGCTTTGGAAATAGAACATGTAACTATTGATATTTTAAAGCCACTCTTCCCATTTGTCTTTGTTTGGCACATACGCCTGTCTGCAATTGTTTAGTTTTACATAAAAGTGGTATATTTTGGTCAAAACCAAACTATTTTTCATCTGTTTGTTTAATAATGCGTTAAAGTAAAATGCTTCTGGTGTTGGTGCAGATCCGGATTAAGTGGTGAATTATCTAATTTATCTGCTTGTATTATTTTCTTCTACACACAAAATTGTTTTATATAATTTGTTTTCTTATGCATCTCCATGTTTAAAAAAATATTTTCCACCCTGGGCAAAACTGCTCTTGTGCAGCAGGTTTGAGAAGAATTAAATGGTTCTTTTGTTGGGACTGTTGCTTGCTGACTTGTTTGAATATCCCTTTAAAAATTCAAAGGTGTACATTTAAAAAGAAAAAAGATGCTTGTCTAAATATTACCTGGGTTCGGTGAAAATAAACATTCTTTAACAAAAAAAAGTATTTCTGTGTTCGTTTTAAAGTTAAGCTGTATTAAGGAGTAAGTGCACTTTCCTTTTATTCCTCCTTGACTGCTCAAATAAATGAAATCCAAGTATATGTGTTGCTTATAACAAGGCAGCACTTCATTCAATATCATTGATGCACTGATGGTCATTTTTCCTTGACTTACCTCAACATTTCCGCACCACTACTTGAGCTAGTCTTTACATAGTATCTATTTAAATTGGTGTATTTTTTGCAACAACTTTGGAGACTGTACCCGGATCCCACTGGACAAAGAATTGTGGGGCCAGCCTGGGATGTGACCTTTGGGCACTCTGCTCTGTATTGTGGTGCTTTTCAGACCTGCATGTACTGTTAGTAGCACAGTACTTTCTGGGCTCAGAGCTATAGCACAGCCTCTGGTGTGACCCAGTCTTTGAAGACCCGTGTATTGAGTAGCCAGTCAGGCTGAACTACTTGGAGCTACCTTACAGTTGATACTGTTGGGTGCCAATTTTAAGGCTGAGGGAACTAAGCGCTGACCTCATCAGCTAGATGGAATGTTGCACAAGCTCCTTCTCCTGCCTTTCAGCCTAGAAGAAGCACTACATGGAATGTCCAGTCTCATTTCACTGCCTCCCTACAGTGTCTTCATCACCTCTGGCTGCCTGCGACCCTTAACACCAGTTGCTTGGGTTTGTGAATAGGCCTTACCCCACTTTGTTTTTCTCCAATATGCTGTACAACATGTATTTTCAAAAATGCACAGGGCACAGTCTTGCTGCAATGGGTGACCTCAGCCCATACGCACCTACTTGTTCCAAGGGAGTTTACTAGATTTCCCAGAAAGGAATCGGCAGCTGTAATTTGAAACCTGTGTCCCCTATTAATGGGTCGTCTTCATCAGAAGCTTTTGCACTCGTCTGAAGCTGAGGCCTCCTCTGTGTCCACTTTGGACTTTTTGTCTGCTTGTGCCCAATTATTAGAGCAGTCTGCTTGCAGAGACTTGAAGCATGCAACTATACCATCTCTGGCTCTGAGCTTCCTGGGTTTCCAACTCAAACCATGCGTGAGGTCCCTGGCACCATCTCTAATTCAAAGCTCTCAGTCTACCTCTAGAGAGGCTATTTATTGAGCCACTTGCAGACAACTCGGGTGTACTAAGGGTTGTTTCAAACCTAGTTAATGTGGTATGTGTTTACCCTGTATTTAGAGGATCACCCTGCTATTTCAGGCCTAGTGTCTTGTATGGCTCCCAAAGCTGCAAAGACCTGCTTCTCCATCTCATAGACCACTAGTGGCCTGTCCAAGCCTTCCTCTCACTCAAACCATGGGTTTTATGCCACTGGCACTCTAACTCCTGTGCTTAGTCTTCTGCTTTAAGGTGCTCCCCCACTTTTTTTAAAAAAATATTATTTGTTTAGCTGGGTCCCTGGGCATTATACCTTCCTAGCATTTGGATGCTCAAGTAACCCCCTGTAGCTATCAGGCTTCCCATTTTCTGTTATTCCTCGTCAGTCTTCTGATAAGATTTGTTGGACACATTGCTGAGAACAGTCTTAATTTCCTTGCAATCTGGGTCCATGTTACCTTACTTGGCAGGAACTTTCATTTCATTCTTTCATTATTGGTTCCCCCCTAAACCTGTACCCCTCAAAGGGGAGCTTCATGTGATTGGGTAGTGTTCAGCCCTTTGTAGTATTCTAACCATCAGTCCTAGCTCTCTACCCAAAGGTCTCAGCAAGGTTTACATTAATACTTTCCAGCTGTTTCTCTTGCTGAGAAGGAATCTGTCCATTCAGCATTCCCCAGACCTACCCGCTCTAAGTACTGGATCTAACAATTTTACCTAGTGCCTTCTTTTGGTGTCCCTTTTGTAGAACACTTAGAAGCCCCTGAATAGGGTCTGTTTTGTGGACTCTTGCAATCGTAGTCTTTCTGCTGGACCTCACTCTTGGGTTTTCCGCTGGTACCCTTAATTCACTACTTGAAGAGGATCTGTTTTGAGGACTACCACAATCGGTGTTCTTCTGCTGTAGATCTTGCGTAGAGATGGTCTCTCCTGGTTCTTCCATTGCCACCCCTTAAAGAGCCTTTGTTTTGTGGACTTTTTACAGTCAGAGTCCTTCTGCTGAAGCTTACTCCTTTTAGGGCCCTTTTACATTGATGATCAGTCTGGACCAATCTGTCAGTTTTTTTTCTTTTCTTCAGATGGATCCAGAAGAATGCCCAATATATGGCTATGGGTGAGCAGATGAAAACTTACATATATCCGTTTGTATTTGTTTACATCCAAGTGCTTCTAGATCTGGTAAAAAGGAAAAGGCCTGTGTCTTGTCATATTTGCGGGCCTAGATGGAACTGAATAGATGTAAGTAAATGATGTCTTTTCAGTTAACATGTTTTCATCAATCTTCCTTTTTTTTTGGCCCACCTTGACTTAGGATACAGGGAGGGGCATGCACACTGATGTTTTTTGTAATCCATATTGGGCAGCAATCATGGCCAGGGATGTCTCATGAGACACCTATTATTTTGGTCCATCTCATACCAGACCTGTGGGGCACCACCTGCTGGCAATAGAGCGATAGGGTGAAGGAGAGGCTGTGGCAAGAGGTGAGCCAGGCTCTGACCCCAAACTGGGCGATCCTCACAAATAAGTAGCAGGAGAAGCTTTCTTTCACCAAAATAAATCAAGCGGGCTTTCCTAGTAAAGACATTTGAGATGACTACCCCTCATTCCTTAACAGTGGATGTGGCAGCAGTTCTGGATTGGTTTCGACAGATACTCTGACAGCTGATCGTTCTCTAAATTACAAAAATTATATTTTTTCTGCAATACGTGCTTTTTTTCCCCTGAGGCTGTCACTTGCAAACTAACAGCTCTGCAATCCAGCATCTGTCTTCCTTTGGTTTGGGCTCACAGTTCTACTACTCTGATAGGAGTCAAGATGGTCCCCAAACGACAATGAAGAAAAAGAGGAAGGACCTGTTATGTTACTTGGCCTTTTCTATTGGGATATACTGTATGAGCAGTCTTTTCTTCCTTTCACATTAACCAGGTGCTACAGGAAGAGAATGATTTAACCTGCTGACTCCGCCTGCTGGCCTGGACCAGTACAAACCATGTTAGAATAAACAATAAGTGGTAAAAGGTCACTTATCCTTCACGGTAAGTGTGCAGAGGGATTCTGACAGAGTGAAGAAGGGTTAGAATCTCTGAGAGGATTGGATTGCAGTTTGTGTCCCCGCAGTTCCCTTTGTTTCCTGCACTTGTGACACGTGAATAAAAAAAGGAAATCTCTCCAATGGAGTTAAAGACC